ACAAGTGGCTGGATTTTTTTAATGCTTGCGTTTCGAAATACCCAATAAAATTATAAGATCCTTTTAGACATGTATCATAAGTCTGGAATGCCATTTTTGGATTAACTTTTTACCATAGGATTTTTATTTAGGAATTCAATCCATGCAGTTATACAGTCATCATACTGGTGTTTCGTGATAAGTCAATGGTTTTTTTCATACTGCCCTCGAATTGGCTAGAACTTTTTAATGGTTCCGTTTCCAAATATTAAATAAAGTTATAGGATCCTCTTAAACATGTATCATAAATCTAGAATGCCGTTATTTGATTATCTTTTTACAGTAAGATTGCTGAGAAATTCAATCTAGTTTTACACTTATCATACTGGTGTTTTGACGTCGGTTGAACCTTTTGGCAATACTACGCTCCAAGTGGCTGGATTTTTTTAATGGTTGCGTTTCGAAATACCCAATAAAATTAGAAGATCCTTTTAGACATGTATCATAAGTCTGGAATGCCGTTTTCGGATGAACTTTTTACTATAAGATTTTTACTGAGAAATTCAATCCATGCAGTTATACACTCATTTTACAGGTGTTTTGTGATAAGGCAATGGTTTTTTTCATACTGCCCTCGAATTGGCAAGAAATTTTTAATGGTTCCGTTTCCAAATATTAAATAAAATTATAAGATCCTTTTCGACATGTATCATAAATCTAGAATGCCGCTATTTGATTATCTTTTTACGGTAAGATTGCTGAGAAATTCAATCTAGTGTTAGACTCATCATACTGGTGTTTTGACGTCGGTTGAAACTTTTGGCCATACTGCGCTCGAAGTGGCTGGATTTTTTAATGGTTGCGTTTCGAAATACCGAATAAAATTATAAGATCCTTTTAGACATGTATCACAAGTCTGGAATGCCGTTTTCGGATTAACTTTTTAATATAGGATTTTTACTGAGAAATTCAATCCATGCAGTTTATACAGTCATCATACTGGTGTTTTGAGATAAGTCAATGGTTTTTTTCATACTGCGCTCGAATAGGCTAGAACTTTTTAATGTTTCCGTTTCCAAATATTAAATAAAATGATAGGATCCTTTTAAACATGTATCATAAATCTAGAATGCCGTTATTTGATTATCTTTTTACAGTAAGATTGCTGAGAAATTCAATCTAGTTTTACACTCATCATACTGGTGTTTTGACGTCGGTTGATACTTTTAGGGATACTGCGCTCCAAGTGCGGGGTTTTTTTAATGGTTGCGCTTTGAATTACTCAACAAACTGGTCAGATAATTTTAGACATGTATCCTAGGTATAGAATGCCGTTTTTCGATTAACGTTTACCCCAGGATTTTTACTGAGAAATTCAATCCAGTTATACAGTCATTATACTGGTGTTTTGGGATCGGTCAATGGTTTTTTCCATAATGCACTCAAATTGGCTAAATTTTTTTAAAGGTTCCGGTTTGAAATACCCAATAAAATATAAGATGCTTTTAGACATTTATCATAGGTCTAAAATGCCGTTTTTTGAGTAACTTTTTACTATAGACTTTTTGCTGGGAAACTCAATCCAGTTATACCATACTGGTGTTTTGACATCGGTCAATGGTTTTTTTCATTTAATGCTGCCGTCTCGAAATACCTAATAAAACTATAGGATCCTTTTAAACATGTATCATAAATCTGGAATGCCGTTATTCAATTATTTTATTACTATAGGATTGCTGAGAAATTCAATCCAGTTTTACACTGATCATGCTGAAGTTTTGACGTCGATTGAGACTTTTGGCCATACTGCGCTCCAAGTGGCTGGATTTTTTTTAATGATTTCGTTTGTTTCGAAATACCCAATAAAATGATAAGATCCTTTTAGAAGGCAGGACTATCTTGGCTCCCCAAGGATGGGTGAATGAAGTGCAAGTAAAAGAAGAACTCGTTCCTACCAATGCCAACAATGATGATCAACCCGACACTGCTAACTGGGATGGAAAAACAGGCTTGAAAACACTCACCAACCGTTTGTTGGGCAAAGTGTTTCATACCTTTATTGTACGACCCCACCTAGAAGTCTTCAGAACAGGCAAATGTCTTGTCCCTGGAGTTCAATTGATCTAGAGTTGTTCCTGAATGATAGTCATCTGTTTCTGTTTGGAACACCCGACACCACCACCAGTGTGAACAAAAAGATCCCTACCCTAGCCGATGATGACATTTTTGTCACCTTACACATGCTCAAAGTCATTCTCAATGCCAGTGTCTATACTAGACTGCAAAAAGAAAGAGCTCTCAGTAAAACCAAACGAGTGAAATATCCAGTGGTAAGAAGTGAAATTCGAACTTTTTCCTTTGATGGGAAAAGTACAAGATGGGAACAGGATAGTGTTTTCATGGGACGCGTCCCAGACAGAGTGGTTCTCGGTCTGGTCAAATCTGAAAATTATAATGGTGATCTCACCTGCTACCCGTTTGCCTATGAAAAGTTTGGAGTGACCAGAGTACGTCAATCTGTTGATGGTGAAGAATACCCTTATAGATCTTTGGAAATGGCCGGGAATACTCAGGCAGAAGATTTGCTAGGGTACAACCGATTGCTCACTGCGATAGGAGCTCATAAACAACACAAGCCTACCATGATTCTTCCCAGTGATTGGGGACAGGGAAAAAATTGCACACTGTATGTGTTTAACAATGTCCCTGGTGATGCAGATGACCCTCATTACAGAAATCCCAGACAAACAGGCAATATCCGGTATGAGATTGACTTCCAGGCAGCGGTGGATCATAATATTACCGTGGTGATCTGGAGCGAATATGAAAACCTATATGAAATCGATCAGTTCGGAGGCATCCTTTATTCTCTCAACCGCTAAGTCATGGAGTTTGTGGCTCTCAGCAATACAGTGCTCAACATCTTAGCACGAGAAGATCCATTGTTAAGAATTTCGTTTCGTAGTGTGTTTCCAGCCGATAAGTTACCTTCTGTCCCCAAAGGAAGACGTTTTACTGACGCCTATATTGTCAACACGGATCCAGCAGGAGAACCGGGTGAACATTGGTTAGCGATTTGGACACGTTTGGGGGTTTGTGAAGTCTTTGATAGTTATGGCTTACCCTTATCTACCTACAAGAATCCAAAGTTGCAAGCATGGTTGGCACAATGGAAAGAAGTGGTCTTCAGTGATATGACGATTCAAGCTTTAGATAGTCAAACCTGTGGACATTATGTCTTAATGTTTTTAAAAGCTAAAGCCCATGGAAGTTCGTTTCAAGATTTTTTAGCACAATGGAACAAGCAAAATTTAGTCTTGAATGATAGTCGAGTCGCTCAATCGTTGAAACGCCTAATTAAAGAAGAATTGTATCAGACAGACCTAAGTTGTAAACAAGCCAATGTAAGCCGTGGAACGTTTTGTTATGTTCATTCTCAATAAAATTCATGTTACATTATCACCTGTCTTCATCTCTATCATGATAACTAGGGGTGATGAGCAAAAAGCTATTTAAGGGAGACCATGGAACATATGATTCAGTATGCTTCACCTCGCCTGTATCAAGAGATATGGCTAGAAAAAAGTCCAGACCGAAAAGAAGAAGCCAACGAGGGGGTGCTAGATTTCGACGAAAACCACGACTCATAGATAAAATTGCCGAAGGAGTAGCGATGGGATTATCAGGCCCTGCTCCTAGTTTTGCGAAAGCCGCTGCTTTTTTAGGAAAACAAGCCTTTAAGGGTATAAAAGACAATGTGCAACATTATAGACGTCGAACAAGATGATTCGCCAACCGTGTAGTGTGATTGTAGCAGGTCCCTCTGGGAGTGGTAAAAGTGAACTGGTGGAACAAGTGTTGAAAGACAAGAAACTGTTTTACCCTCCTCCGAAAAAGGTGCTGTATTGCTACGATCGTTGGCAACCTAGATTTGATCGCATGAAAAAACAATCCAAGGTCACATTTTACAAAGGACTCCCTCCAGAGGGGGCCTTAGCTAAATGGTTTAAACCTCAAGATCATGGGATTCTCATCTTGGATGATCTGATGGAAGAAGGAGGCAGTGATAAACGTGTCTTGGATTTATTTACGAAAGATTCTCATCATTGTGGCATCACCGCCCTGTACTTAACTCAAGACTTATTTCCACCTGGAAAATTTGCGAAAACTATTAATCGCAATGCTCATTATGTCATTTGCTTCAAGTGCCCACGAGACAAGACAGGGATTCGTCAGGAGCCGATTACCTGGAGCCTCCATATGTGCTGTACCCTTGAGTCAACCCTTTCCGACGAAGAATTATTTTTAGAACAGGCTTTCCCGCGAAAATACATTGTTTCCGAGAACGTCCGCATATTGCCGTCGTGAGAAAAAAAAATGGCGTCGGAAGAGGGAAATTGGCCAACAAGTTTTCTCCGTGTTCCACCACCGTTTTCCTTTATATTTTATCCATTCCTTCTTTTACGATCGAGGGAAGCTGGTTACTAGTTAAAACAGTTAATATATGACTGTAATGAAAGTGTTGGAATATATCCAGCGTGTGTTTACTGTCCCGGGTAAGACCAGGGCGATTACCCAGTTCGAATAATTGTTTAGTTGGATGCTATGGAAAGAATCCTTTTGAAAGAGAGTTTTTTTTTTAAAAAATGAAGCGTTCTGGTAATGAGTTGAATTTTTCTGAGGGAGAACGAAGTAGTAAAAGCAGGAAGACGTTGAATTTCGCCCGCGCCGATCGCGATGGTACCGAAGGAAACGCAAGTTCTAGTAGCTCGATTGGCGATGTTGCCGGCCCGGAAACTGCAAAGGAAAAGCTAAAAAGAAAACTCCTTCAGAGGAAAGATGACGGGGCGGAGATACTGGAATGTTGGCTCCGAGAAATTTTAGCCGCAAATTTAGTTGGTGAGATACTAGATCTTACTATCGAGCACTCCCCCTTCAAGAGCTCAGATGAAACTGCCACTCCTGGCCGAGTACTCGTGTTGTATCCATCTGAAAAACACACCTACGACAAACAGGCAGGACCATTCCAGCCTGTTCGACTTATTGTCAATGTTGACCGCTCTTGGAGTTTACAGTGTCCAGTATATGAACATATGATTATCAAGTCGGGCAAACTTCAAGAAACGGCGAATGGCGCTATTGTCGATCTTGCTAAGAACCTTCTTTGTTCTAATCAAACACTTTGCCCGGGATTTCTGGAAGACGTCGAGGCACTAGGATATGAGCCCAAGAATATCCGCATTATGGCTGGGCCGGTGAGAAGTATGCATTCAAAGAGGTGTAAAATTTGGCATATTCCTCCGTGTCTGACGAAAGAAAGATTAAATGCCTCTGACCCTCGGTGGAAACGAGTATGTCTCGAGTGTTTAGACGCCTCAAGGTATGTGAAGAATCAAGTGAAGAAGAAAAAAAACTTGGATGAAACCACAAAATTAAAGAGGCAAACACCAAGTAGTCACTTCCCGTGGAGATACCTTTCTCCTGGCAGCAAAACTAAACGTGCAAGGAACATTCGTCAACAACGATCGAGGCTGAGCAAACACGTTCAGCGATTTTACAAGCGAACGAAGATTGAGTTGCCGGGTGAACAATCTAAGGAATTATGTAATCTCATCCAAGCAATTGAAGGTTCTGAGACAGGACAGAGAGAGCTGAAGAAAATTACTGCAGAAGGAAATAAGCTTGAAGGAAAAGGGGGTTTAAAGGCAGGAGACTGCATCAGTGAAGTGTGGCAAAAAGACCGAGCGAGCTTCTTCAAGGACCAACAAAGCAACGGTATGGATTCAACAGAGTTGTTTTAATTTTTGTTCTTTTTAAGTACTTTTTTTTATTTCTGTTATCGTTTTTTACCTTTTCACTCCTATAAATCAGGCATAGGGAAATAAATTAACTTAATCTCAGGAAAATTCTACCTAATTAAAGAGGGTTCAGTTGAATCTGAGCTGCTGGTTGCATGTGGTAACTTCTTCGAAGGATTTGGGCCACAAAATTTAAAAAAACTGAATAATCTAATCTCACCACTACTTTTCTTGTCCATTCTCTACCAAAATATGTGGTCAAGCGAGTTAAAAGTCTTTGAGATTGGCAAGTATGCATGTATGATGATAAGTACTAAATTTTCACATGTACTATACCCTTATTCCTGCAGCCTAGACAGATTAGACATCTGTTGGTGTCGAGTTAAATATATTATATAGCACATCTCTGCTTATTACTGGAATTACACTGTTCATGCACACGAACCCTGTACAAGCCAAAAGTGTAGTACGGAAAAGGTGACATTTACATCTTGAGCACATTTTGGTTACTCACATTAAATTTTCTTTACTAACAGTGACTGGCAAAAAGGGAAACAGATGGTCACTATCCACGATCAGGGTTGGTAAGTACCAGTGAAGGTTTCATTTTTGCCTTTTTCACTCAGTTGTAAATTACTGTACATCTAGGACTGCAATCACATATTGTATCTATTCCATTTGGCCCTAATGGGTGTATGCCATGGTCTGCTTTATAAATGAAATTTGGTCAAAACTAATTGTTAAACAAACTAATGGTGGCAATTTGTACAATGTGTTGCATTCCTTCTAATTGTTGTTTCACATATTATGACTGTAATGCCTTCTCAAAAAAATAATTACATCACTAGAAATTTAATTTGCACGTAACTTTTTACAGCTCTTGCAGTCTACAACAGAAGCCCCTCTGCTTATGAGGCTCTGCGAAATCTTACCATTCTTCAGCTACCATGTACGAAGGTTTTAAAGAATGTTTTAAAGGATGGTGCTGAGCAACCCGGAATTGATAAAAATTATTTCCAAAGTCAACAAGCAAAGTACAAAGAGTATCAGGAACAGAGGGAGAGTGGTGGACACCCACAGCCTCTTGGCATTGGAGTAATGATGTGGGATGAAGTTAAGGTAAACCTTGAAAGTTCTAGAAGTTATTGTTATATAATTTTATTCTTCCTTTACATAAACTTGATCTGTCAGCACATAATATTCAGGATTCCTTTTAGTTAGTACCATCGCATGATAAAAATAAAATTTTGTTCTCTGTCCTAGACTTGGGATCTTCTTCGAGTTGTTGTGCATGGATTCCTTTTATGCTGTGCATGGTTTTTTACCTATGTCTCCCCGGATGGGAGGTACTTTATTAGCCCCCTCAGAATCAATGGCAGTGCATTAGAGTCAATTTTTAGTGTGCTCAAACACACAAGTGGAGGAAATCTGTCTGCCATTGCCTACTCACCTGCTTGAGGCAGGTTGATTAACAGGAAAGATTTAGTTGTAAATCAACATTCAGAGAAAGGTTACAGAGACCAGATTTTAAACGTAGATGGGCAGTCAATTACAGCTGACAACCAGATTTCTGTTAAGTGCACAAATGTTTCTAGGTCTCTATGTCAGTTTTCTTTTCCTTCAACCATAGCACAGTCCTCGCTAGGAGGAAGGCAGGGCAGCAATGCTTGCACAATTATCGCAGTTAGGTTTGGGGACTATGCAATGATGCATAAACTAGATATTTCATTACTTTGGGGGCAGCTGCCTCAGTTGTGGATCACACTATTTGTAAATGCTATATGTTATGGTAATCATATATATGATGATCATTTTGGTGACACAGCTGTTTACTTAGATGTAGAAGACGTAGTCCAGGCTTCAGGCACTGAGTGCAATGTCCAATCAGTCAGCGCAATTTTTGGCTTTAATAATGCAAATGGGTTTGCTGATTTAGCAGCACATTTAGGAAATGTTCTGCAACCATCCTATGGAGTCTTAATTGCAAATGACAAGTCAGTGGGAATTTTAGTTCAAGCAAATGGCCTTTGTGCCTTAATTGATAGCCATGTCCACAACAACAGTGGTGCTGTTATATTGATGGCCGATTGTCCGAGCAATCTTATTACTGCTTACTCAAGACTGCTGTTGGATCAAAATTTAGTGCTTAATATTGGCACCTTTACTTGGGTGCATTATTTAAGTGCCTAGTTCATGAGTGTGAATGACACATTTGTTGAGGGGAACTAATGCCACCAAAAGAGTTGCAAACACTTTGAGTATATTTTGACTGCAACCGCCTCGATCACATTCAAAGGAATTGTATCCCCATATTGATTCTTAATGAGCAATGTTGAAACAGAATTTGCTCTAGTTTTGCCCCTTGTAAATATAATTATGAAGGAAAGTAAGTTTTGTGCACTACTACATATGTGGGCTGAATGTTGTTGATAAGAACATTGGCCTCTCTTCTTACATTCACATTGAAATAATATGACTGAGTATAATGACAATTTGAGTTTCTGTTTTCTGTTGTAAATAACGAAAGTCTTGCTGTGCAATTTAAAACAAGTATTCATTTATTAAATTCAAGGAAAGTTTGCACTCAACAGATTAGTGTTAGTATACATATGTACAGGTATAATATCATGACACATTATTAATTATTACATCTTGGGAGGACTCCATTGGATTTCCTCAAATAGAAATAAAGTGCAAAAAAGAAGAGCCCTTATTCAGGGTGTTAATTGGACAAGTGTAATTTAGTCAATAAACATTTAAGGAAGTATAATATGATTTTCTCACCAGTCAACCTGGAAGAGTGGAAACCATGGCTACTAAGAGATTGCAGGAGGGGTTTACCTTAGGGCGATGGTTCTAATCTCAACAAAAACTATATTTAAAACTTCCTGTCATTCTTAAGCTTCTCATACTTTCAACACAAACACATTAGGAATTAAGCAATAATTTTGGACTTAGATACATTATGCCTATTACTGTATTCTTTTTTTCCTATGTGCTTAAAGTGTATGGTTCACAGGGTTGGCTAATTGGCTCCCTGTCTAGATTGTTACTATAAAAAAAATAAAAACATCAAAATGGAATCACAACAGGAATGCATTCTTATTTTTAAGATAATAAAAATATTGACCTCCTTAGGAAAATTGTCAGTATCACAAGGAAAATTCAAATATAATTGATGGAAACTGGTCGCTTCGATACAACAGAAATTACACACAAAAATTATACCTCAACTGAGTCTTGCATGATTCGAAACGACATGAAACTTTGACACTGAGGCAGAAATGCTAAATATTCTACTTGCGTTTTGTGGCTAATGCATACGCTTTTAAGCGAGGTCTGAGCATCTCATCAGCGTCAACCACCTTATTTTGTCCTTTCAGTTCCCTTTCAATCCTTGCATTCATAAATTCGTTGATTCGAGTATTTGCCAGCTTTGACACCAAGTCTTTGAATAGACCAACCATTATTTCCATGTCAGTGTCCTCCAAGTTCGTAAGGGAAACGACGAGCAAACGAAAGTCCATTTCAAGGGTTTCATTGTTTAGAACTGCGTTCTGACACATGCTTAAAAACTTCGATGGGTATCGACGAAGGTTACTGTCCGTTGCAAATTCACGCACTTCGTTATCAACAGATCGCAGAAACGTGATCATCTCAGCTCTGGGAAACACCACATTCCCCTCATCAAGATTTTTCAGACTTGAGGAAATGGCCGATTTATCCTTCATGACGAGTTGCTGTAAAATTTCCAACTCCTGCTCCATAACTGGTTTCCGCTGTTTTGACAAATCTCCCCGTCCTTTTTTTCCGGCAAGAGTCTCCTTCCGTAGTTTAATCATCCGCTGCAGAGCCGCTCCACAATACCGATACAAAGTATCGTCCGATTCTTTTGATAGTTGACATCTTCTTCCATTGATACCTTCACCAGCCGTTTCGCTTTCCGTCTTTCTTAGGCGTACATGTTCATGTATGATCGAATAGACCAACTCGTGAATAACACTCACAACACAATGAACTTCATCTCGAGAGTTCGTGTGTAAATTCGCCAATAATCTTTCTAAAATCATTCGCTCCTGTGTAGGTTTTCCGGGATGAAAATTAGCCAAGAATTTCATCCAGGACACTGAGAAAGCCGCTTTTTTGTACTTGTCTTTACTGTCGAAAGCTTCTTTGGCTAAAGTTGAAAATTTCCGGCAAAATCCAGCGATCAACAGTTGAAACAACTGCTTCTGAGCAACGCCTAAGATATGTTCCACAACCTTTATCCGCTCAGGCTCCAATTTTATTTGTGGATCGTCCTTAAGGGTTGCCCTTACTTCGGTTTCTACCTTATTGGATTCTTCCGAACTAAAAATCCAAGAGACCAGCGTTTCCATTTCTTCATCGTTAAGCGTTGCATCTTTACCTTTCTTTGTACGGGTTCCACTCCGCGTTGATTTTGCTGCCGAAGAGCCGCTCCGTTTGGGTTTTCGCTTTTCGTGGCTTAAAGAAGCTGCAGGAGTTTCCTCATTTGATTCTCCTTCCTCCCTGCTATCAGAAGATGGTATTGAGTCGCTAGAAAGCACGTAACTTGCCGAACTATCATCAGATGACTCCGATAAATTTTCCCCCACGCTTTCCGCCATTGTTGTCAAAGGGTTCTTCAGAGCACGAAAAAGCATATGTAAATGAGCATTACTAAGCTGCGCTCTGATTGGTTATTACGGACAACGCATTAGGGCGTGTCAAATTTTCCGCGGGAAAGCCTGTTCTAAAAATAATTCTTCGTCGGAAAGGGTTGACTCCAAGGGCTTGTATGGGAGATGGAGGCTCCGGGTAATCGGCTCCTGGATTCGTAATTTACTATTACAAGTGTATCCTGAACGATGGCGTAAAGTCCTCAAATTATTTTTAAAACTCATAGCACGCCCGTTTGGTTATTTCATGTTGGATTTATATCCTGCGTCGGATGATCGTTTTCATATTTGGAGTCATTTAACCAAACGAGAAGGCAGACCTCAAGTCCATACCTTTGATGAAGATATAAATAGACGCTCCGTTAAAATGTAAACAGAGAGTGATCATGAGTAAAAGACGACGACATCCTAGTGGAGCTAGACGACGTAAACCTGGGGTTGGAAGACAAAGAGGTGGTATTGCACCTCTCTTAGCCCTTGCTGTTCCTGCTTTAGTGGCAGCAGGGAAAGCGGCAGCTCTAGGTGGAGTGAGTGCTGCAGCTAGTTATGGTACTAAAAAAGTCCTTGATATAGCAAGACGTAAGGCTATGACACGTAAGCGTCGTGTAAAACGTAAGCACCGTTAGTATAAAAATAAACGCACACGTTCAGTGCGTTAAACAACAAGATGACAGGATGTATGTCACGTCAAGCTGCTTTTTTAAAAAGTGTATTGAATGAAGCCAAGTTACATAAACGCCAACAACAATTACGACATGCGAATACAGATCAAATCAATGCAGTGAGTGAATTAGTCATGAATACAATCCGTGGCACGGTCCCTCAAGGAAGACAAACATTAAGGGGACTCAAACCTTATGCTAAAGAACTCCGTGTCATAACCAGCCCTCGGCAAAGTATAAAAAGGCGACGTGGATTGATGATGCATCAATTAGAAGGAAGTGTTTGGCAAGAATTACGACGTTGTTATCATTGTGGTCAAAAACAGTATCGTTACTAACATGATGAGGAGACAAGTACTGTTCGATCAATTGCTTTGTATAGTGCAAGGTATTTTGTCTGTAGCTGAGATGTTGAAAGAGATTCAACAAAAACTGAAACAAAAATTTCCCACCCTGTTTCAACGACGACCTTAAAACGTATAAGTAGCAGACCATGATCCATAGGGTCATCATTTTTCGAAAATGGAGGGAATAAGCAGTACACCCGTAGAAGATTCTGTGAAATTTTTACGTTTGCATGATCAGTACAAATCCAAACTCTTGGATGACAGTCGTTTAACCAAAGCAGCCGATTTAGCCGCTCAACAACATATACTCTTTGAAAGTAAAGCCCCTGATACATGGAAAGAGCCACGATTGAAAGCGGTAGGACGACAATTACGGCAATGGACCAAAAAAGTACGACAACCAGGAGGAACACGAGCGATTGGGAGTGGAGAAGATTTTGAGGACGCATCAGATGAGGAGGATAATTTAGCTGTAGGTCCTGTGCATCAATTGATTAGTAAGATAGCCAAGATAAGCCAAAAAGGTATAAAAAGACCAGCAACTCCAAAGAACCCTGACATAAAACAGTCACCTATTACACCTGACATAAAAAAGTCACCACCTAGCAGTAAAAAAGCCAAGTTTTCCTTTCAAACGGGGTTCAAAGGAAAGCGTTTATTACCCAAGACACCGTTAAAAAAGTCCAGTGTTAAAAAGACGACTACTCTATTCAAGACACCTGAAAAGTCGTCAGAAGAATTAGCCACTGAGCTATCATTGTCGGATACAGTAGGTGAGTCTCCTTGGAATAGGGGTGCTGAATCAGCCAGAGATACCAATCGAAAAATCAAAGAAGGTGCTAAACAAGTAAAAAAGGAGATTTTGAAAAAGTTAGAACCTGCACCTGGCTGGAAACCATTTGGGACGCCTGTGAAGCGAAAACTCGATGGCAAAGACTGGAAGTAAAAAGACAACAAGGAACAAACGTCAAAAGAGAAGGCGACAACGAGGTGGGAAATTTGATATTCAGAAAGCTTTGAGCAAGACTGGGATCAAGTTCCATATTCCTGGAGGATATCAGTATGCAGGGCCTGGCACTAGATTAGAGAAGAGACTGGCTAGAGGTGATCCAGGCAAAAACCGACTCGACCGAATCGCAAAGCAGCACGACAGCGCGTACAGTTACGCAAAAAATTTACAGGATAAATGGCGTGCGGATGAAGACATGATCTGGTCCATTGACCGATTACCGGGTAAGGAAACCTTGTCGGAAAAAACAGTGAAAAAAATAATGCAAGCCAAGAAACGTCTCAAGTTGTAATTTTTTATTCACTTTTGAAAAATAAAATTGGTTGTTGACAAATCAGTGTGTGGTGCGAAATTGTTTAAAATACAACGGAATCATACTTTTACTACTATCTTACTGTATTTACAAATCAACTAACAAATCAATTTCGTGTCCTATACGTGAATATCCGTACGGATACGATTTTCGAGTACTTACATCAATCACGCGCTTATCAAATACTAACTTATAGTTTTTGACTCGTTGAGTCAGTTTAATGCGTTTGTTTGTGACGTCCCTTTCGAAGAAATTGGGGTTTGTCAATTGTAATTGACGCGGTTCCTCCTGGGGGTCTTCTAACTCAGCGAGAATGTTATTCTTTAAACTTTCAAAGTTTAACACGGCTGACCCGCGAACATTTAACGTAAAACCACGCACTTTACATTCAAACTTGCCTCCACGTGTTTTGTACCCATAATTCTTTGCACCCCCACTAGCAAACTCCACGATTGGGTTCTGTTTCATCTCTCATCTGACCGAGAAAAACGCCTGTTGGAATGTCTGACCAACCAGGTCTCCATCTGTAAATGATACTGTCCGTATCATAATACAAAACTTGTTCTTTTAAGGTGTCTAATCCATCGTACAATTTCAAGCGTGCATGGCATGTTGTAAATGCCGCGATAAAAATATTGATTTTATCGCTTTTCTGATGTTCTTCTTTTGCATCCACGATCACAGCTTCTAAAATCTCTTCATTGCAGATACGCAGTTGCTTAATCTCTTTTGTTTCGTCATCCAGTAATCAATACAAAGCATCAGGGCTCATCAGTGTTTCTGTTTTAGGTTTGTTTTGTCTTTCTCCGAATTTCCCCCAAAAACTGAAAAAACAAACAAAAACAAAAAAAAACAATCAGTCAATGACTACCAACCATAAGAGTTAAAACGATTTTTGTTTGTATGGTAAACACAGCTCAATTCAATTAGGTTAAAATGCAGTGTTTTACTGCAACTTAAAAGAAAAACATGCAGTGTTTTTCACACTTTTGTCATACAATTCCTTCTCCGAAATAAACCGTATTTGCAATAAGGTGAGCAAATGCAAATCATTTCATATAGGTTTAAATGCAGACAAAGTCAACAAATTTAGCTACCTGTTCAACATTAATTTCGCCACTGTTTTTCGACCAGGATTTTTCTGCACATGTTCCAACAGGATCCCTTCATGTTCCTGATACTGACGGATATACTCTGCTTTCTGTTCAGGCGTTGTACAATCTACCGGCCAACCAGCAGACTCTTGCTTGATTTTAAGCCACGTGTTGACATATTCTGCAAACAATCCTGTCACCTGGTTTTCCTCAGGAAAATGCCAGACTTCGTGGATTTTCAAAATTTGGTATCCTTTCTCCACAGCGCGTACAAGTTCTGGAGTACACCAAGTCCCTCTTATCATCCGTTCTTGGTCTGTGTGGTGGCACATGTTGGTACGCTGCAACATATTGTCTTTGGCTTGTTCTTCGCGAACACACGCAGCACATAATGGAAACGTTAATTTTCCGCCACTTCGGACAGGGAGAACAGGGTGAAATAAAAATTCCGGGGGGAGAATGTCCACTTTAGCTAGACCAAACCAATGAGCAATGTTTTGATCCTTTGGATTTGTATAAATTTGAGGGTGCCGTACAGGATAAGTACAGTTTTTATTTACCCATGAGTAAAGACTCGTGACATCGATATATTTTATCTCTTCTCCAGGTTCTGTGGCTTTCGCATGTAAACAAACTGCGCCAGTTCGCCCCCCAAAGAACCTGTCACGAGGATTCATGGGTTCTACCAGGTCGAACTCTTTCAAAAAGGCTTGCAATGCAGGATCTGTCTTCTTGTCCTGTTTAAAATCGCATTCCCATTTCTCAATCACTCTGTATCCAGCTTGTCTTAAACTCTGCGTTTTGAGGACGGTTGCTTGCCTCGTCTACAGTTCGATCGCTGTGACAATTTCGTCTCTGATGTCTGGAATTCTTAAAACATTTAACACAGCCGTGATAAAAACAACCGTGAAATTAGTATACAGTGTTTGTTCTTGGATTAAATCCATCCACAAAATAGCTTCCTGCAGCAGTAAGCACTCTCTGTTCCCCTCCATTTCTCACAAACTTAATCTCATTGTCTCCGTCCAATTTACTTTCTTCAAAATACAACCATTCAAGTGCGACTTTGCTTTGATTGACTTGAGCCCCATGCCATCCGTGAACGGGTTCCACTGCAATCAAATCAGGTTGTAATAATTTTTTTCGCCAGAATAAATTGCATGCACTCGCGATCGTAACACACCTTAACAATGGATTAAATCCAGCAATGGAAGAAAATTCTTCCACGAATTTCTCACAGCCCGCTTTCAATAACTGAACATCACTTTCACAGTATTCTTGCAGTTCCTTTTTGAAATTAAAGACAACATTTCTGGCGACTTGATCAGCATGCCAAGCAAGGAAGGCGGCTTTCTTTTTAGGATCCATTGAGTCTGGGTCGTAATATTCCACATTAGGAATACGCCCTTCAGACAATAAATTAGCCTCGACGTGGAATTTGTGACAAAAGAAACCTTTTCTAAGTTCCGTTAAATGAAAAGTGGCAGGAAATTTTTCCAAGGCAAACGGTAAAAAACACATGGA